CCAGCTTATTTATATCCACAGTTGTAGTGACTTAGGGTTTGGAATTTGCCAAACCTAAGTTTTGATTACCAAGAAAAGTTTTGTACTTCTTGCACTTGCCTTTTCTTCATAACTTTGGCGGAAATCGTCGTAGTGAAACTTCAGTGTTCCGTTAGCTGTCGGTTCTTGAGAGAGTTGGCCAGGCCGGACACCGGGGACGGCTCCACAACTTTCGAAAAATTAAACCTAAGTCCTATTGCACTGCATGGAGAGCGATTCATTTAAAATCGCTCTTGTTCCCCCCCCCCCCCCCCGACAACTTTGCAAACGTCTCTGCGCGATTTGGTTGAGAATGATGGCTTATGGCAAGTTATCCAGAATTGGAGGATCAAAAGCATGCGATAGCATGCTTTTGCATCCGGAAATTCCCATTGGTGGGTCGCTCCAATGCTGAACCTGTTTGTCAGTGAGTGAGTGAGTGAGTGAGTTTGTCCAAGCTTTTTTGGACCTGGAGTCAAAATGGGTGGACCGATCGGGACGAAAGTGGGACCGTTTGATTCGTCTCCGGCGAGGTAAATTTTGGTGCTGGCCTCGGTTCGCTCGGTGCTTCGTGGCACATGCTATTCCGCTTCAAAGTTTCGGTGACACGAATTTTTTTGTCAAGGCTACAGGTCAACCCGAGGTCACGGGCAAAGCCATACTGGCGGGACACATCGGTAACACCTTGAACCAGTTTCCAGGGGAGTCACCGTCTGCGAGGGGTGCAGGCTGCACGTGCTGGGGTCGGAAAACCGTTTTGACGTGAGGTCCTCTGGCTCAAAGAAATTTTAATCTATCAACCTCAAAATCGGTTCAATGGTAGTCCCAGGCAAGACCTGAAAAATAATGCACATTTGGTTGAGCTGAACTCTGTGGTGCATGAGCTTTGCACGTGCAAGCCGATTGCACCCCTTCGTACGTTGCCACGCCTGCAGGGTAAACGGCAGCTCTAACTGGTTCAAAACTTGCAGGTCATAAGAAGAATACATTTGATCTCGACATTCCGGCGAGATAATATCCGAGGGGTGCAAGCTGCGCGTGCGGGGGGCGGATAACGGTTTTGACGAGGGATCCTCTGATCCCGGGAAACGTCGATCTAGCGACACAAAAGTCGGTACACTGATAGAACCAGTAAAACGCCTTTTGGGCGAAGAACGAGCGAGCGAGATAGTGAGCCCTGCACGTGCGGAAGGGCGAGAGGGTGCTTCCAACGGGCTTGCGCAAAGCACCCTTCTAACCGGTCGCTAGCGGTGTGCCAAATTTGAACGCAATCGGCCCAGCCGTTCCTGAGATCTGGAAGCGGCATTCTGCACGTGCGCACGTGCAAACAGGGTCCAAAATGACTTTTGCACGGCACCCTACTAACTGGTCCCCAACCGTGTACCAAATTTGAGCGCAATCGGCCCAGCCGTTCTCGAGAGCTGGAAACGCCCCCTGCACGTGCGCACGTGCAGTAGCACCCTAACCGCAACACATGGGAATGCATTGCCTGGTGGGTGCCTACCTGTATGCCAAGTTTCAGCGAAATCGCCCCAGTAATTACCGAGTTACTGAAATGGGAACAAATTTGGCACCTCTTATTGTTGTATTTTGCACGTGCACTAGGGGTGACCCACATGCATCGAGGGTATCCTATTTTGGGTAGAAGGGATGCTGTTACCCTACAAAAATTACCGCAAGTCAATCGCCCAAGCGGCTGCTGAGATATGAGCCTCTCAAATTCACTACTTTTGCAAAACAGCTTGAACATCCTTGACTTTTCACGGCGGTCACTGAGATGTATCAAAAGTAGTCAATTACGGGGTAGAAGGGATGGGGCTACCCAACAAAAAAGACCGCAGGCCAATTGGTCCAGCGGTTGCTGAGATATAAGCCTCTCAAAAGCGTTACAGGCCGGGCCGGGCCGGGCCGGGCCGCTCATACTGAGATTTTTCCGTTATATTGAAAAGACTCACTTCGCTCGCTGCGCTCGCTCGCTCGTAACTAGACACACGCTATTAGAAACAGAAAGATGGCATGGCGCAGCCGCTATTACCTAATGAAGTCATTGGGCTAGGGATCCTCCAATTCTGGCCCAAGGCAACGCACGAGCGCTGCCGGCATCTAGTTGAATCAGAACGTCGATCACTGCAGGTCATATATCGGCAAGCAATTCTTCATAACTAGACACTGCACAAATGGAAACGATACAGGTTTGCCCAGTGATAAACACTCGAACTTCACAGACGCGCGCACCCCCGACTGAACGCGGCACGGCACAGCGCAACTGGCGCCGGGAAGCCGGGAACGCATTAAGTGAAGGATTCACAGGTGCGCAACTTTATTGCGAACTTAATAAAAGCCTACCGCAAACAATTAAAAAAAAAGTTTTAGGGCAATCGGAAATACAAATGTATTGACTTATAGAAATAAAATTGTCATTCACCTTCCAAATAACCCAACAATTTATTTGCCGTAAAAAGTGTCTGGAAATGGAAAGTTGCAAACATGATTCAGCAAGTAGGGAAACGCAGCAGCTACCTGGCAAATAATCTCAGGCTGGTTTAGTGACGAGTGCATTGCTACGGCTTGTTCCTCACCCATCACAGATTACTATGACAAAACTACCCCTAGTATTTTGATCAACCTGAGGCTGACTTTCACCTAATAATTTGATGAGGGTCTTCCTCGTTTCGGATTGAGGCGAAAACAAATGTCAATTTAACACCTTGACACAAATTTCAAGTCTTAGGTCATCTTAGGTCAGGAGTTATTGAGGTCAAACTGAGGTCATGTTCGAGCAAAAATGAGCAAAAAACATGAAATCTTGAAACGCTCACAAAAGCTACAGTTAACCCGCGCCCTGGTGTGGGTCTGAGCCACCTTCGCCCTGGTGGGGGGGGCCAAAATGACCCCCCCCCCCGTCTAACTCGAAAACGAAGAGGGCTAGGAAGACGCGGAAAAAAGCAAACGAAAGCCCATAACAAGTACGTTCGAAAGTATTTCGGTCATTTTTTCGCTAAGGTCAATATTGAGGTCGCTAGAGGTCATCATAGGTCAAATTTCAGTGTTTTCGGTGTTGCCGGACATATTCCGCTGTAGCTCGGAAACTAGAAGAGCTAGAGAGCCGCGGAAAAAAGCAATCGATAGCTCTTTTCAAGCTCTTTCGCCAAGGTTCGTCAGATTTGACCTCAGCTCAACGGTTTGGCCTACAGAGGTCATGCAAGGTCAACTTGGCAAATTTCGTTGAAAATGTTTTTAACTATAGCATGCATTCACGAGAAAATAGAGAAACGATTCATGCACCATCGTGCTTGGCTCGTCGAGACGCGTCGAATGATATATAGTTTGACCTCGAAAGGTCATTTTGAAAATTTGACCTCAGGTCAAGGTCATGACCTTACCGAAATAGGTCATGCTGCATATCATTCGATCCGCATTGACGAGACAAACACGATAAACGTCGAACGGAGTCTCTATCTCTATTCAATAACAAGTAAGTGCAGAAAAACCGCTGGTGACCTCTGGTGACCAGGGAGATGACCTAGCGTGACCTCAGCGAGGTCACAAGCAAATGGTTTCACATGGGCTGTGATTTGCTGACCCAAGACACTTCAATAACGAAATATAGGAACAATCACGCCCGATTTAGCTGAAAAACAACTACTTTTCGATTCTCCCATTGACTTATAATGGGGAGCAGCGATGACCTGACCTGACCTTAGGTCACATTTATAAAAAATCCGAGATAGCCATTTTGTAGAGCTGGGTGACATCTTCAAGTACTGTAAATTTTACATCGATCGGATAAAAGCTGTGCCTTTGAGAGAGCTTTGAACTTTTTTAGAGGTGGTGTCAGTTTTGGTGACCTTGTGACCTGACCTGACCTGACCCGAACCCCCAAAAAAAGGACATGATGTAAAAATGTTGAATAAACAGCTATACAAAGTTTCAGGGCGCTAACTCAAGTGGTTTCTGAGTTATCGCTGAAAAACCACAGGGGGGGGGGGCCAAAATGGCCCCCCCCCCCCACCAGGGCGAAGGTTAACCAGCAATTTTCAAAGTTCTTTATGTGGTCGTGTAGAGAAAGGACGGTGCTACAAAACTGTTATCTCGGATTTTCAAAAATTTGTGACTTTTACCCCCCAAAATTAAAAAACAAATGTGTAGCAAAGCGCAATAAAATCCCAAAAGTTTTACGAACTTCGAAAAACGGAATCTATTTGATAGTCCTTACGCTATTCTATCTACATGCCAAGTTTTAGATCGATACATCTTTTCTTGACCAAGTTATAGCGAAAAAAAAAAACTGTTCAAAATTGATGACGTCAAATTTGTGAACTCGATTTTTAGACATTCTAGACCACGTAGCGCAAAACAAAGAGCACCATTGGACTCCCCATGAAGAGCTGCATCGAATCGATACCCATTTTATGCAAAATATTAAGTTTGAAATTTGACCTCATTTGACCTGACCTTGACCTGACCTTCACCAGAACATAATTCAAACTGGCCCCGAAGGTTGCCTGACCCACATAATCACATTTGTCATGTAAAATGGACCATAAAACATGCATCACATGATATTTTCATATTGTGACCCTCAGTGACCTGACCTCTGTGACCTGACTTGGTATCAGTGACCTCAAATAGCAAAATATGTGTCTGACGAACAATTGCCCATCCATAATTTTCAATGACATGCATTTTACTCGATTTTACAACGCATTTCTTGAAATGTCTGTAAAGGGTGAAAATTCGACATTTCACCTGACCTGTGACGTCATCGGTTTGACGGAGGTCAATGAAACCGTGTCACCAGGTAGTTCCCCGTTGGAGCTATCCAGCACCGTTTGCTGCTTGTCGCTATGTTGCGTGGCTCTCGAGATCTTAGGGGGGGGGCCAAAATGCCCCCCCCCCCCAGCGGGGCGCGTTGCTTGGCAGACCCCAACGGAGCGCGGGTTAAGCATTGCACCCAGTAATTGTTTGCCTTTGTTGCATAGGAACAAGGAGAAAGCAATGGCAATGCAAATACTGTCAACCTACTCACCATCAGCAACAGACGTTGTGGCGACTTTCTCGGAGAAGACACTATCGAGAAGAGCATGATCTGCGCTGGCGCCAAGAACATCGGAGCTGGCGGCATGGGTCCTTGCACGGTAAGCGTAGCTTATTTGAAAGCGGATGGTTAGCTGGTTAGTGGCCATCTGTTGCTTTTATTTGATGCGGGAATGTATCCCAGCTGGGTCGTGGATAGACGTTTAGACTGCCATTACTAAATACAATCAAATGGCTCTCATCATTTGTTTATTATTATTATCGTTACTCATTTCACAAAATCTTGAACTGAATCTGGGCCATTTCTCATGACTTCTTAATAATTATGATGCACGTAATTCTTTTACCACATGCCGAGATATCCCTTTAACATTAGCACGTGCATTTGGGAAATGACTTCGGCCCGCCTCGGCTAATGTTGAAGGTATTTGGGAAACGATTCGGCCCTAGGGCTTTTTGATTTTCCCAGACAAAGATTTTCTGAATATTCTGAGTAGAAGAACCAATTCCAAAGAAGATATTTACGGATTGTGTGTTCACTAACAGCAACAGCAGAAGTGAGCAAAATTAAGTGATGGCGTTTTCACTTACTTTTGCTGTCAACGTAATTCAACTAAACAAGGATAGGTATTAGGTATCGTTCCAATGCCAATGTATTTATTGCTGCAGAACATGGTCAGAGTACTCATTATTACAACATAATGCACGCAAAAAAAACAACATTTTAAATGCGCGAAGCACCTTAACCCGCGCCCCACTGGGGTCTGCGTATAACACGCCCTACTGGGGGGGGGGGGGGCTATTCATAGCCCCCCCTCCTAACTCCGAAACTACTGGGCCGATCGTCAAAATTCAAACGGCGTCTGATAGCCCCGGAAAAACTGTCGAGCGAAACCTAATTTCATTGACCTCGAGGTCACCGATGACGTCACAGGTCAGGTCAAAGTAAAAATTATTAGCATTTTGGCTTCTTCACGTTTTGGGCTCTGGCCGCCGTCTTACAAGTCAGATCAGGCTCATTTTTGGTTCACACACTCGTGAACAGATGCTCTAGATACTCTGAGGGTACCAAACTTGTACTTTGATTTTCAGGTCAAGGTCAGGTCATCACAGGTCACGAAAATATCATATCATCCGTCGGTCACGTGACACATGTTTTATGGTCCATTTAGGCCAAACATTTCGAATTTGATGTCGTCTGTGTCATTCGAGGTCATTTTGAGTCAAATTTAGCTCAGGTCAGGTCACTTTCAGGTCAAAAAAGGTCAAATTTTGAAGTTAAAATTTTTCAACAAAAAAGGTGTCTATTGGATGCAGTTTGAGCTCAGGAACACGATGGTGCTATTTATATTGGCGTACGATGTCAAATTCGTGCTGAAAAATTGATTTGAAAAATTAATAATTGTTAATTTTTTGCAATAATGCGTATAACTTGGCCATTTTTGAAGATATTTAGCTAAAACTTGCTAGAGTTAGTCATAATAATGCGTTCTATCACATATATTCCGGTTTTTTCGAAAAGTCAAAAAGTTTTTGAAAAAAATGTAAAAATATAAATTTTGAATTTTATTATATAAAATTTTCGCAATTTTCAAAATTTCGAAAATCCGAGATAGCAGTTTCATAGCGCAGTCTATTCTGAGTCCTCTCATGCAAAGAAATTGGATCTAGCTTAAAAACTGAGCTCTTGGGAGCGATTGCCGTGGATCAATGTTTTGCGTCGAAATCGGCCGAACATGACGTCACTCTGACGTCATTTCCGGCCGACCTATGGTAGGTACGAAGTTCAAATTTTGACACAAGGTGTCAAATTGATGCAGCCGAAGGTACTGAAAGTTTGGCGTCGATACGTCAAGCGGTTTGGAAGTTATTGCAGAAAAACGGGAGGGGGGGCTATAAATAGCCCCCCCCCAGTGGGGCGCGGGTTAACGAGCCACAATAAACATTTGGTATTGTTCCAGCTGGGATCTAAGACGCGTTTGATTCAGCGTCTCACCCAATTTTAGTTTTCCTCACGGTTTCCTCACTCCTGCTGGACTCCATATCTTTATAGTTTGTCCTAACTTCTGGCGCTTCACCATCTTCATCCTCAGCTTTTTTCAAACCCTATATAAGGGGGAAGTAGGAAATTTCATCTTTCATACTCAACGCCGCCCAATAATAAAAAACACCAAAAATAATCACGGTGACTATAAATATGAACATAGTATTAATATAATATTAACACAATAATAACAATATAATACAGGGTGACACAAAAAAAAACGGTCATCACCAAAATTCGAATCACTTCGGGAGTTTTATTCAGATCATCACCAAACTTCGGCCACTTTAGGTCACACCTATGTAGCAGACATCCACCAAGTTTCAAGTCTTCACTACGAATACTTTTAGTACAGTGTGTGTTTTACGGACGCTCCACAATGTGCTCCAGGTGAGCGCCCCGGCGCTGCAGGGCGTAGGCACACCTGCATCCGGCGGGCAAAGTTGTCGATAACCCGATAAGAATAACGTTTCAGGGGTAGCACACCCCCTGAGCACTGTCTCCAGAGGCCATTGCACTCTGTTAAGTGCACAGCCATCGGGTTATCGACAACTTTGCCCCCAAAAATAAAAAAATAGATTTTTTGAATATAATAGCCAAAAAATCCAAAAAGTTTTTTGAATTTAAAAAAAAAGACGGAATATATGTGATAGTCCCTACCGTCTTCTATCTACATACCAAATTTGAGATAGATACCTCTTTTTTTTTGGCCAAGTTATAGCGAAAAAACTGTTCAAAATTGATGACGTCAAATTTTCAAAGTCAATTTTTAGCAATTATAGACCTCGTTGCGCAAAACAAAGACCTCCATTAGACTCCCCGTGACGAGCTGCATCGAATCGATACCCATTTTATGCAAAATATCAACTTTGAAATTTGACCTTTTTTGACCTGACCTTGACCTGACCTCCACCAGAAAGTGACCTAAACCGCACCTGATGGTCTTATAACCAACACCATTGAGCTGGAAATGAAAAACTGGCCATGAAACATGCATCGCATAACCTTAGTAAAGTTGGGCTCATGTGGTGAACCTTGGTGACCCTTGGTGACCTGACCTGTGACCTGACCTGGTATGACCAGTGACCTCTAATAGCAACATATGTACTAGACAACTGACACCTTATCGCTGATTTTCGACAAAATGCGTTTTACTCGGTGTTATAACGCTTTCCCTAGAAGCCCCGTAAACGGTGAAACATTTTATCTTTGACCTGACCTGTGACGTCATCGGTGACCCCGAGGTCAATGAAATTTGGTTTCCCTCAACAAATTGGACAGTGCTATCGAACGCTGCTTGAATTTTCCGGATCCGTCCAGTAGCTTCGGAGATACGGGGGGGGCAAAAAAATGCCCCCCCCCCCCACCGCGCGGAAGGTGGCTGGTAGGCCCACCGCCTGCCGGGGGTTAAATTTATCTTCTCGGCCAAACACGTATTCTTATGACAAAATGAATGTCACCATCGTGTTCTATAACTAAAAGTACTCATAATCCGTGTGTCGTGTGCTGCGAATGCCATCTTTGGTTTTCAGGGCTTTCGTTCGTTCTTAACCCGCGACCGCCTGGGGGGTCGGATCCGACCCCCCTCCATTTTTCTTAAATAACTCATGAACAGCTTACGCTATCAACTTGACACTTGGCATACCTTGTCCCCCATCCATTTGACGTCTCCTGTGTAGTTTTAAAGAAAAAATTTCAATTTTTTTTTTAGATATATGGATTTTAGTGATGTAACTACATGACGTTCTCAGTCAAAAAGTTGTAAATGCTTAAAAAAATCGCCAAAAATCAAGGTTTGAAGCAAATTGCAAATTAAGGATATGAATAGACGCAGCTCAACGATTTCTTTAAAATAGCCATCTCGGATTTTCCATAAAATGCGTTTTTCACCCCTAAAATTTCAAAAAAAAAAACTTAAAAAAAAACAGCTAATAAAATCCAAAACTTTGAGAATTTTCAAAAAACAGGAATATACGTTATCCCGGCCGGGCCAGGAGGTAATCCCAAACACCGCAGCCCGGGGGGGCGTTTTTCGCCCCCCCTCCCCCAGGGCCTCCTCTAAGGAATTTTCACTGGGGCGGCCAGAGGCTCAGAAGTCAAACCTAGGGTACCCCCAAATCCAGTTTTCTCATCGGATTTAGGCCACTTATTTTTCGTCACAGCCCTGATACCATGATTTTCATTTTTTAATTTGAAAAAAAAAAATCAAGAAATGGTAGGCTACGTCACCCTACTGGTGGATCCAGGCGGCAGGGTCACATTTTAGGTACCTAACGATCCCGGCAACGTCCGAAATCGACGAAAATTTCTGGCTTTTCGACTTTCGAGGATAAAACAAAATCCCTATACTATAGAAAAATTGTATTAAACGGCACGCAGTGCGTCAGGAATCTAACCAACCGCTAAAAGTGTGAGGGTCAATCTTTCCCACTAACACTGTAATCCATTAACCAACAGCTACCTGCCTGAAAACAGCTCACTATCCTAAAAAGCTACCTGCCTGAAAATGACTTAAGAAACAGGCCACAGGTCAATAGTAATGAAGGCTAGGGACCAGGGTCATTTCAGGAAATGTGCAGCCAATTGATAATCACAAGAATACTAAAAGTTTTGCCACGCTGGGCCACTTTTTACGTGAGTTATTTGCGAAAACCCTAGGGGTGGGTCTATCTAACGGCTAACCCCTCAATAAGTGTGAGGGCTTATTGCTTCCAGTCCCAAACACCGGGGAATAAAACTTTTCCCGTGCTCCGCCGCGTTCTCATTTGACCGTAGCAAGATTTCCTCTTCAAGAATGAACCCGTCTCCCGAATAAAATAGTCCTCCGTGTAGAAGCGTGAGCGTTTGACTGATTGAGAGGGCGACCTTCCGGGACGCTTCCTTCTCAAAGGAATTCATCAATGCCCATGCCCCGTTCGGGCTTCAGTCGGTGTTCGATTATAAAAACTGCATCGTCTGACCTCATTCCGTGGCTCATCTTAGGCAACATGCGGATGTGAAATGTTCTTTGTAGATAAAAACAACGGTAGGTAGGTATAAGAAAACTAAAATTAGTAA